GAAACAAGCTCATAACAGTCATCATACACAACACAGTAGTCAGGTGTATATGAGGCCCTGCCAAGGTAAATTCCGACAAGCGACATGGCCCAAAAAGTAGCGACAGCGCTTAAATTGAAATCGCGACAAGAGACAGCCTCCCTCGGCCAAATTGCGACAGTGACGGCAAAGCTGACAATAAGCTACAAGCATTTATAAACACTGACACGAGATGTTTTAAAATTCAGACAGGCGACATGGGACCCCTCCTGGCAGGGCCTCAGGTATTGTAGTCTGCTACACAGCCGTTTTTAGAGTCGTCACGCAACGCTCCTCCCCACGACACTAAAAACGGCTGTGTAGCAGACTACAGGTATTGGGCTCAATTGCTGCCATTTCTTAGAAGCAAGAACAAAGTAATGAGTGTCTCGTAATAATGGGGAGCCATTTAATTGATGAGCAATGTTTCAGGACTCTCCCTAGAAACTGATCAGGATACAGGAAAAATTTCAGGCCATTATTCATGATGGCTGTGCAAATGGAGTCCTTCCTGACCAATTCTTCTTTCCTTAGAATCCTTTGAATGCTATATTTAGGCATGGAGAACAACCTCAGACATTTAAGTAGATATGCATGGGAGAAAACATTCTCTTGATGGCAAATCATGTTTGCCCCAAGTTATCACTGGCTCATAAACCTCTTCTTCTTCAGAGATATTTAGCTCATCTTGACACATCAATTCTTTGGGTGACCCTATACGGCGGAATGGCGAACTGACGGTGGAACGGAATGGCGGAATACATGGAATATTCTAAAATACGGAATACTCTAAAACACGGAATTGAGAGAATATTCTAGCATGATCTGTATTTGATCTGAGCCGGACAGACAAAAAAAGCAGAGGCAAAGAATAGTCGGTTGTTTTGAAATATTAAAAATACAATTTTTATACTACCGTACACTATAGACATAGACCTTATGACGGTTTTGAAAGCCATCTTGACGGGTGAAGGGTCTTGTATGGGAATCTATTAATGTCGAATACTGATTTTAATAAAACGTCTGTTTTTTTAAAAAAGAAGAATTGTAAACTTAAGCTTCACAGCAGGATTGTACTAACAATTAATGGGGGCCGCAACTGTGCCTAAATTTGTCCGGTCGCTTGTTTTAGATTTTCCAGACATTTGTCCGCAATTTTTCCTGGGAAATGTTAGTAGGCAAGAAGGAAAAAAAAATTGCACACAACACTGTATATTTTCACGCGGTTGCTTACCCGTCAAGATGGCCTCCAAAGCCGTGATTACTGTAATGATTCGATTTAGCGCCCTCCTTCCTATAAGCCCCCCTTTCGAATAAGCGCCTCCCATTCCAATAAGCGCCCCCATTCTAATATATAAGAGTACAGGTACGTATCAACCGAGGTTCATCTTCAATTAATTGCTCACAAACGAATGGTAATGCCACATTACAAAAACAGCCGGGTCTTATGTCCATGTGAGTGCATAAATTCTTCTGACGAATGATCTCTCCTTCAAATTTTGTGGTGATCGCTCGGCTGGTCGTTCTGGCGAGGAAGGATCCAGGGACAAGAAGTCCGTTTTCCACTCTCCTTGATCCATTCACCTTGACTTGCACTTTGTTCTCACTGCGGGCTTTTTTAAGAAAGGTGAATATAAGGAGGCACACGCTCAACAAGTTTCAAGGTAAGTCCCTCTCATCACTACCCTGGTTCCAGAGGTTTTTCTTGCTTTTTCTTCGCGAAAGAGATCAAGAGCAAGCCGCGAAGCGTTGTAAAATATTCCGTATATTCCGTGTTTTGTTTTAGCATATTTTGTAAATTCCGTCTCTTCCGTCAGTCCGCCATTCCTCCGCATAGGGTCAACCATTCTTTGATCGACGACGTTTGAAGAACTAATGTCTGCTTGGCCTAAATACATAAACTCCAAAACATCTTCATTATGCTTGACTTGATTTCTTTGAGCTCCACTAAATTGTCTCGGTTTTCTTTTACTTCAAACTCGCTGCAAAACAAAGCTTGGAAGTACTCGCCGGCAGCAGATAACACGTTGCTGTGACATAGCAACGTGTGTCGCATCGGAAATTCGCCTTTCTAAGATTATTTAATCTTTTAAGTAATCCATATCTAAAACGATCATCACTAACTTTGGTTTGTTGTTCCTCTTTTTCATTAATCTTGCTGTAATTTTGGATCAGTTGCCGGATGATGCAGCAAGAGATACGAAAAAACCAAGAATCGCAAGGAAAGCCGGGAAGGAGGAACGAATGGGGTGTTTGGCGGGAGTTTGATGTCGCAGCTTCCCGGGATTTCCCTCTGTGTTCCCACAAGAAAAAGTTGTCTTTCTAGCCATATAGTAAGTCCTTTTTCGATCAAGATAGCTGCATGGATATTGGCCTCGCTCTGTCCTGTCATTTAGATTGACGTCGACGCAAAAAAACATAAATAAATAAATAAATAAATAAATAAATAAATAAATAAAACTTGACGGCCATCTTGACCAAAAAAGTTAGGTCGAATATAGGTTACTCGGCGATTTAAAATAGTAAATTACCGTCAATCCCCTATTACAGTAGTCTGCTACACAGCCGTTTTTAGTGTCGTCACGCAACGCTCCTCCCCACTAACTTAGTGTTTCGATTACCTGGTACAAAGTGATCACAAATATACAATCATTATCTCGTCAAATTCTCAATTTCCAAACAGGATGTAAGTACGTGTAAAAGACATCAAGATTGAGCCAGAAGATTGGAGAAGATGGAAGACCTCTGGTAATTTCGCGGCAACTCATATTAACGATAATTGTTTTGTTGAAAACGTTTATACTATTTATGACTGACTTATTTGCGACTAAAACACTAAACACATATCACATCTGAAATTTTTTTTCTACAGTTTACGTGTATTTCATATCATATCTTCAAGGAGGAGGTTATTATAGCATTGTATGAGGATTTAGTTCTTATGTTTTTCGAAACTCCTGTCGCATTTATCCTTCTTTTTACTGAATCATCTTTTTTACGCAAATAAGTTGTTGGAAAACATAAAAAAAATTCAGAAGTCAAACGGTTTACAGCACACATCGAAAATCGAGCACTTAACCATTTAAAATATCACTTACTGAGTTTAGAATAATTTTACAGGCGCGAATCTAGGATAAATATACTGACCGATTTCTTAGATGAGCGCTGAAGGCGCAAGGGGGGGTTTGGGGGGGTCCAGGGTCATGCTTTTCTATAGGTTTCTGAGTCATTCAGACATGATATTGGCCACATTTTAACTTGAAAAGTTTTATCGTTAGATATATTTATTATTTTTTTTATCATTAGATCTATTTACAAATAGATTTATTTATGAAAAATCTGCTGATTTTCATAAAACGGTGGAAACCGGTGTGGATCCGCGCCTGTTTTACACGTACACTTGCAACGTTTTTAACAGAGGGGACATTAGTTTTCTTGCTTTTTACAAAAAGCTCGACGAAAGAGTCTCTTAAAAGCTCGCCTGAAGTCTCTTCGAAACAGGCTGTAGGCTATTGGGTTAGTTGCCGTGCTAAACAACGACATAACGCTAGCGAACGTGTCGGCTGCCGGTGGGACGATTTCGTGGTTCCACGTTACCGTTTTTAAAAGGCGGGCAACACTGAAAGGCGTCCATGAAAGAATATATAAAATAATTACTAAGGTTATCGTTCGAAATCCTTTTAATCTGTAATTTCTCCAAGCGTGACGCCCCGCAGAGTTTGAGCTATATGCTTCTCTCGAAGACATCGTATTTATTCTCCTGCCTTGCTGTCGCACAACTGCGATTATCCTCAAGTAGCAGTATATGATAACAGTTGATGGAAGCAGAACACATAGCACGATTGTGAAAATACTGTAGGTTATCACCCGGGTTTTCCATTTGTCGCCCGTTCCACTGAAATTGTAAGTACACATCGATTCGTATTCACCATATCGGAACCAACCCAACACCGCACAAGGTATTGTGAATACCATTGCCCACACCCAACATAACATTATTGCCGTGCAAACTCTTTTCGGCGTCACGTTCGATCTGTACTTAAGAGGGCGAAAAATTGCGTAATAACGGTCCCAGCTTATAAAAGCCAACGTTTCAACTCCAACAATTGCCAAACTGTAGTAGACGAAAGCCGTTGTTTGACACCAGATATCACCAAACATCCAGTCTCCATGGATAAGTGCCGCGATACAAAATGGAATCACAAAGGTTCCTGTTAACAGATCAGTAACCGCCAGGTTAAAAAGGAAAAAGTTCGATTGATGTTGACGGAGGTCTTTGTCGAAATAAATCGCCAAACACACCAAAATATTCCCCAGAAAACCAAAGATAAAAATAAACGAAAGAATTGTCGCGAAAACAAGTCCTTCCTCTGTGGAAAGGAGCATTTTTGCCATAGAATATGGCAATATTCTACCAAAGCGGAAGACGTAGTCAAATGAATGTATGAGAATTAATGTCATATATGTGAGATTGACTTAAAAAGAGTAAATACAGAAAAATAGTGTTATAAAAGAGACTTGTATAATTAATCAGGTCTGCGGATATGTCAGCAGAGAACAAGCAAATATTTCAAGAGTAATCAAATTTTTAATTTCTCTTTGTACGATACGAAATGGGCCTTATATTTAATTTGACGATAGGTTGAAAGGCCTAAAGATACAGAACCGTCCTCATTTATTTTCTTTGCTTTAATTAAATACATCGGACTAAGTCGAGCACTTCCTTAGTTTACTTTAACGCCGACGTTTTGGGAAAATCTCTGACAGAACAACTGCAACTCCTCTTAAGCAAATACTTTATTTATATAAGGAATACTAAAATTTTCTATAGGGTTTATAAGTTTAAGCCGTTGTGTGTGGAACGAAATGATAATTATTCATTATTTTTTTCTAACAACGCTATTAAAACGACTTGATGAAAATAACAAAAAAAACTCCTATTGATACTTCATAAGAAATGAGCTTTGATTAGGATCAAACAACAGTCTAGTGGCTGAACAAAGAAGTGACAATCTCCAACATAAAATGGTGATAGCGGGGTGAGATCAGGCTATCATTAAAGTTTTTTCCCCATGAATAATCAAGGCTATATTCCTAATATTCGCAAAGGTGGTATCAGCAGTGTATTAGCAATGTACACGTGTCGTTCAATGGGTTTTGAACATACTAAATCCCCTTAATCAACGTATTACAGTTCTAGATAACAAAACGTTTCACTTCCATTGTTGATTTGTAATTGTCAAAATGTTGAGTTCGCGGTAAATTTCGTCAAAATAAGGAAATCTTCAAATCATTAACCTTTTCTCTAGATATGAATTTTTTAAACGCCTGATTCACTCAAACAGCAACATCCTTTGCAACATAAGGACGACGAGCAGTATTTAAAAGTAAACTTCAAACCATACACAGAAAAATCCTTCTACTTTTATTTACAGTTACGGAGTGTTTTGTGTACATCCTGTACATCCGTGTTCAAATTATGTCAACACGTAATTGTAGCCTAGTTCGTGTTTGAAGGTTCATGACGTGTTTGAAGTTCATTTAAGTACAATACAATGAATTGTTATGTCTACAAAATCCATCGATATCTGACAGCGAACATAATCCACACTGCACATGCGCTCTCAGGGTAAGTGAAAACTCGTACCCGGACTGCTAACCTCACGTGATCTCCTCGACAGCAGATGATTTCTTCACATACCGGGGACCTGGAAATAAGACGCAATTCAATTACCGCCGTTTAAAACACTTACCTCAAAAGAGAAAATTGAAAACACTTTCATTCTGGAAAGTACAAGAGTTTATATAGTACTATTACAGATCTTATGGCCTCAACAACAACGACCTCTATTTGATGACTATAAATCGTTACAACATCGCAAAGCTCAGGAATTTCTCATTTCCGTGATTCCCTTCGCCTCATCATCAAAGCGAGGCATAATGAACAACTATTCATTTGAAAGCGAGTTGAATCTACGTGTGAATAAAAGCGGACGGGCACCAAGACTCGCGTTTTGACAAATACAAAAAAACAAACAAAGAAACAATTTTATCATGAAAATCATACCAAACAGGAGAAAAAGGACTGCACCCACTGCCAAATGAAAGGTGCTTAATCGAAGCTAAGTCCCGTGTCCACTTCCTCTCTCAATAAAGACTTTCAACTGGCGCCGCTCTGTATTATATTTCACAACTTTCCCCACCCCAGTTTTAGTCGCTTGTCGCTACTTTACATCCATCATTCAATGGTATTACACACAGTTAACTTAAAAATAAGAACCCTTTTCACTTAGATAAAAAGTGGTGTCTCCGAAGAGCTAAAGGTGTATAAGAATTCGAGTTTTCAAACAAATTTTCAACACAGCAAAGAAAACCTTTCATCAGCCTTGGACTTAGGCGCTGTCCACACGTATCACGATATTTTCTACGTTTTAACCTTCTATCCACAAGCACACGGTGTTTTCGGGCACCCAAAAACGCACCTTTTCATTAACGATCTTTACAGCGGAGATTTTTGAAGACGCCGGCTTCTCGTTTACGTGTGGGCAGATGAAAAGGCAGGCCCGTAGCAGGGGGAGGGGCAGGGGGGGCTCGAGCGCCCCCAGAAATTTTCAGACTTGAATTAAATTCTGCTTCAAAAGTGGAATTTTTCTACTAAAATGGACAACTGTCAATGGAAACTAAAGTTTCAAAGTATTGTCGATCATGGTAAGATTATGCACTGTTGTTCTTCTGTGCAATTTGGAATTGTGTAAATGAACGAAATCGTATTTTTGCTCTTTCAAAAACAACCAACAGCTTTAAAATATCTGCTTATTAAGCATCAAAATATTCAGAAGCAAAATGGATCGAAATGCACCAATGACAATCCCACCTGAACCACCTCATGATGTCGCATGTTCACAAGGAAGGAACAGATGTTCTGACCCTTGTAGACGTAGCTAATGACTTCGTTTGGGAGAAAGAAAACCAAAAGCAATTGTTTGGCAAATCTTCCGCGAATGATATCCCAAACAAGTTCTCTCTTTCGTCAAAGTCAACACAAACGGAAAATTAGAGACAAGAACAAAAGGTATTGTAGACAAAATAAATGTAGTGATCTCACATGTACCAAGAAGTATGCTTTAACCAAGGGACCGAAGCGGGAGGGGGAGTTAATGTGGGCCACTCGCTCAGCCCCCCCAGTCATTTTATGCTTGCTACGGGCCTGAAAGGTTTTCGAATACATCATCTACCAATAGCATTACGCATGCTCTGTAAAGGATGCGATCGTATTTCATGTGGACGGGTGAAAACGGTTTAAATAGGCTACGTGTGGACGCATACTGCTTGAAAACAACAACAACAACAACAACAAAAAACCACTTAGTTTTCAAAAACATCCCGATACTAGTTGATGGCAGTCCAGCTGGAACACTCACCTGAGACAAGTAGCAAAAGCCCGCCGTGCATTGCGATGAACAAACTGTATGGGAAACCCTTTGAAAGTGTGTCCATCCGGGATAGCGCGTCTAATTGCTTGCTGGAACTCTTCATTTCCGGCGGAAACTCCTGTACAATGCTCCAACTCATACGCCGCAAGCGCTGGAGTGAGAATGTAACTTAATTCGTCATCCCAAGCAGTGGTCAATCCAAGATCCTAAGAAAATAATAATAAAAAAAACAATACAATAAATAAAACGTGAAAGATTTATTATCCTTAGATCAAGCTTTCCAACATTGAGCGAACTGGTTCTCAGCTGTCTCCATCGAAGCTTAACTGGAGTGTGTACAACTGAAGTTAATTTTGTCACAGCTCGGGCTATTTTGCGCTAAGTTGGAACAGCACGCGGTTAGGAAATTTCAAAAGATATTTATGACAGAGGATGATGTTTAACAAAGAGGTATAAAGTCCCGTTTTATGGAGAAAAGTTGTTAAGGGTCACCCGCCTACTGGAGCTAACCTGGGTGAGCCAACTTTCATACATTTCCTAACAAGACGCCTAACTAGATCACCCTTTTATGATGGTACGGTCACTACTCCTAGCCTGGCCAATTTTTCTCCATATAAATACTTTAGAGAGGTCAAGCTTCACGTTCACGTCAAACGGCAAACACGAAGTTGTACCAGGTGACCAAGTTTTCCCTTTACTTGTCGTTTACTGTTCATTATTTCTACACCTAAATTAGTAGTTTCAGGCATTTTTTTATCCATAAGAATTGTTCTGAGCAGTTTTCATCTGCTCATTTTCTATTTTGAGAAATTCTCAACTTGAATCTGACGGTTTGCCGTTTGCCGTATACGTGAAGCTTAAACTCTCTTTTGGCTCGGCCAGCCGGGTCAATTCGGTCAAGGCGAGACAATCAGAGCATGCGCGAGCGCTCTTGGCTTGGGCAAAGGGGTCAACTTTTTCTCGCTAACGTTGACTCAGCTGGTAGGGTTATCCTTCTAGCTGGGACAGGTTTCTCCATATAAACGGGACCTGTCTCACATGAAAAAGAAACAAAAAAAAAAAACAAAAAGAACAACGAAAACGTTCTTTCCAAGAATTGTCAAGAAACTGTGACAGCTTTTTAAGTCTCATTACTTCTTTACAAGTAGTCTAGGAAGCTTGACAGCCTTAAGAGGCCTTACCCTTCTATGATCAGTCACCAGGCTCCTCAGCTCATACTCCATGTCATTGCTAACTAAGGCCGAGTCCACACTCGGCGGATAGAGAGGCGGAAAGACTGGTCCTCTCGGCTGTGATAATGGAAAGAAAAAACACACATTTGGACAATTGCTCCTAGTTGTTCGAAGGGCGATTAGCGCTAGTCCGGAGTTACATTTTAATCCGTGTTTCTCTTTCGTTTGTTTACAAGCATATTCTCGGATAAACATCTCTTTTCTTTTTAGAGCATCGAATCATCAAATCGTAAAAAACGAGTTTAACTGAATTTGCTCGTTAAACTTTGATGTCTGAATTCAAATTTCGCCCTTACCGAGCTTTCAACAACCTGACCCAGGCTAAGAATGACTAGATGAATAAGTTACCGTCACGAACCCAAAGTCGAATCTCTCCGCAATGGCCACCTTGGGGCAGAAGAAAGTGGCCGTTGTAAGGAGGCAGGGGTGTAATATGACAATTTTTTTTTTCAGGGAGTACAACATATTTTTTGTGCTAAGCTCATGCTTATTGTATCCCATAATGGTCATCCAATCATATCCGTAATAATTATGTGAAGAAAAACTACACAACTAATCAAAAATTTAACGTGACAAAACGAGCAAGTTTTGCAATATTCGCTATAAGTATCGTAAACAATTTACATGTATGTTTACTGCAGCAGTATAAATGCCTCTATACCACGCGCCATACGGATCAAATTTCACTATGACCATTCTTGACTTTTTCGTCAGTCGCTGGAAAAAAACTGGCCGTTGTCGAGAAGTTATTTTGGGAGTTTGGAACACGCTTTAGTGACCGTTGCCGTTGTAGAGAGGTTTAAACAAGAGCCAATGTATGGACTGTCCACCAGGACAAAAGAAAGTGACCCTTTTAGAGAGGTGGCCGTTTGTGCAGGTTCAACTGTATAACTGGAATGAACACAGAGCTGACTGGGTTTTGATTTTATATGAAGTACAATCAAAGAACCCCTCAAATATTGCAGTAATAGAAACACAAAACAACGAAAGTTCCTAAAACTGTTACTGTGATTACATGGACATGTTATGTGTACCATGTGTGAAAAGAAGGGATATTCTTTTTGCTACGATCCATGCCGTTAGATTCGTTCTATAGGTCTGGTCACATTTGACGTGGATGGAACCTTATGCAAATAAGTAAGAACAACAGATTTTCCTCTTAGAAATGAATTCAGCACATGTGAAACGAGACGTTTGAACCGGGTGTTAACGACACGAATCTCGGTGTTCCTTTGCGGAACAGTTTTTAATGAAAGTTCTTCATATCTTACAAGGAGTTTAGGTCCACAAACTGATCTTATCGCTTCCTCACTCATACTCTTCCACCGCGTTTCGTTGTAAAGTTCAAAGAGACATATATCTACAGCATCTGCGGGCTAAAAAAAGAAAAAAATACAAGTAAAACGATGGTGGTATTCACTTGAACGAGTGAAAAAAAATCGACGGTGATAATCGCTTTCTAGTTTAAATTTACTCGTAATTTTTCTTAGTCTGACGTAGATTAAGGAAATATGAAATAAACTAAGAAACAGGTGACTTTAGATACAAGTAAACAAGTGCCGGTTTCCAAGGTGTCTGTCTTTGAGAGAGTTGATTACATTCTCGAAGTTGCTACATTATTTTACAGATGAGATACCCAATTTGTGCAAAGTATTATGAATCATACAATAGATACTTGAGAGTTAGTTCTGGGTTGAGCCGTCTACAAGTTTTATTATATCGATGTATTAAGATGTGTTCTCACCTGACTGTTGGCGTAGAAGGATTGGTGATTGAACACACATCCCACTGTTTTGTAAGGGTGTTCAGGGCGTGACTGCTTCAAAGCAGGTGGATCATCGGGGTTCACTGGACGATGTGCATACCTGTAAAACCAAGTCAACTACAATGAACTTACTATAGGAGCAAGGGTGGAGCAGTGGTGAGAGCACTCGACTTCCACCAAAGTGGCTCGATTTCAAATACCGGCGTTGATGCCACAATATTATGAGGGATGAGTTTATTGTTGACTCTCTTCCTTCTTCGGAGAGGTTTTTCCTCGGGTACTCTGATTTCCCTTTTCCTCAAAAACCAACTTTTTCAAATTTCAATTCGACCAGGAATCAGGTAGACGAAGAGTCCCAGAGTGGATGTGGTATCTCTAAAAATCGTCATGTACTTTATTTAATTATATAAACTATACTGATCCAAACTTCCAGTACCAGCCCTTACATTCAATAACAAGCCATTTTACAGTTATGTGCTCAGTGTCCTGGCCTTTGAATAGAAGCGAGGCTAAAGGTGACCTTGTTTGTGTGACAAACCTTCCTGCTTTTCATGTAGAAATTGTGTTATTCTGATGCGAACAAGCCCGTGAACATGATAATTTACATGTGAAAAACAGGAAGCTTTGTAAGCTTTGATTCAAGTTTCAATCCATGTCCACCCTTACCATCCGTGACAAAGGGGGAAGGGGGGAAAGCTTATTTTCGTGAAGCCTTGATCGACAATTTTTGGTGTCTGTGAATAGTGATTGAAGTGCACTCCATGAAACGTGAACTGCCAAATTCCTCTATACTGCACACTCACATTGAAGAACAACTGAAGAAAATTAAATCGTTAATTTGGCCAAAAGACCTTAACTAGCATCTGACGGCTTGATTAACTTCACTTTTGAGTCTTTTGATGTAACTTCAGAGTGCTCAGACCCACCCACAGCTGGCTTCCTAGGGAATTTATAGCCGCAACAAGAGATCACCCAAACACGTGGCCGAGATCAAGTACACTATTTGTTTGTGTTTCGTGACGAGACCCCACTTGTCCCACCCATTTTAAATAACAAAACTGAAAATTGACCCAAGAACCTTTCTTTCCAAAAATATCTGTTGTTTGATTCCTTGAAATAACGTAAAAGACCAAAAAAACTGGGGATCTACCATCATGCACTGTACCTGTGTGCTGTTAAACTCTCCCAGAATGTAACTTCTCCCTCAGGGCTGATTGTCATGACCCATGTGTGTGCAGCACCTTTAGCCTTAGTGCCAACACAGACAAAAGCATTGAGGCCAAAACCAAGCAAGAGACTGCACAGTAAGACAGCATGATCCTCGCAGTCCTTTAAAACAAGATGAAAATTGATCAATCAGTTTTCAGTAAAACTAACTTTTTTGGTTCACTTTTTGTCATTTTGATGAGTGATTCATCTGAAGTTGCTGGAGCAGCAATGCAGATTTTGAAATGGCACATTCTTATCCAGTCTGACCAGCAGTGTAAAACTGTGTGTTATACTATGAATGAACAAGTCATCATACAATCCACTTGAATTACACACAGCGACAGACCTGACGGTGTAACATCAAGGGGAAAAGGTAACACCCTTCATTAAGCAGACACAAATGTCAGCATGTTCCACAAGTTACACTTTTCTTCAAATACTATTTTCTACAATACTTTATATTGCTTGGGCTTGTTAAGTGCTTTTACTCCCTACCGGTACCCTACTCTCCCTTTGGTAAAAAAAATGGGTGGATGTCACTCACAGGGTTGTCATGGTTACCCAATGCACTCATCTTCAGTTCTTGGCTCCACCAGCTTCTCAGACACCGCCCTCATGTTCATTTTTGTTGATGAAGTAAATCGGTTTGATTAATTATCCTCATTTTTAAAATTTTACTTACACCTTTTCCTTTGCACAGAAATGCATGTAAACTGCTCCACATTTCAACTTTTCCACCACCCACAGATGGTGAATGTTCATATCCCAGCAGACTAACAAATCTAGCAGCCTGACGGGGACTGTCAAGTAATCGTCCAGCGCGAAGAGGACACACAAATGAGCACACAGGACGATTCGTTCCGCATTCATCCTGGGCAAAAATCTTTACAAGTCTGTTACTATGAGATGCACGAATCTGAAGAAACTCTCTCCACCACTGCTTTGCATAAACTAAGAAAAGTCGCTCCCTCTCTGCTATTCTAGAGTGTTCTAATTTAACTTGAGCTGATATGACATCTTTTGTTAAAATCTGAAAATATATAAACAATTAGATCATCGCAGTCATAGATGCAACTTTTGCAGTTGCGAAAAGAAAGCCTGAAAAAAAATTCTGGCTTGTACAAGCCGGAATTTTTGCAGCTGCAAAAGTGGCGTCTACAACTGAGACGATCTTGTTTCATATAATTCTTCACCCTGCAGTTCTCATAATTATATGATTTTCACATATTCATGACCTCAATACATTGTTAGCAATAAACAATTCCCAAAAAGCATTTACTGCCATGTGGTAAATGATCAAGTGACAAGTCTGTGCGCCTTCATTGTACCTGTTGCAGCAAGAAATTTGCACATTGATTATAAGTTCTCTTATGGACAATAAAAGAAATCGAACTTTGTTTGATATTTCTTCAAGTCATGGCTATACTGGCATATACAGTGAGTGTATTATAGCTCGTTTAAAATGAACCTTTCTTGCATTGAGCAATCTCGTTGCTTCATGTTGTATATATGTGATATCTACCTTGCATACCCTGGAAGTCTGAATAAGGTTCTAATGCAAGTTGTTCCTTTTTATGCTTCTATTTTTATTATTCATATTATCATTTAGTTTTGTATACATTAAATTTTCCATGGTCTTGCACAAGATTTCTGTTGCAGAACTTGATAATAATGATAATTATTATTTTAATTTGTTTTGACTGGAAAACTGCCTGCTAAATTTAGGTTGAATAAATCACTGCATTCATTACGAGATCAGTTTTTTGTCACAACCAATCAGGATGTTATTTAGTTGAACAACGCCTACTGTGAGGTGGCCAATCACATTCATTTCTAACACCTTGGGAAACAGGAGCAGCAAAGGAAGCAGGACACATCTACTTACAGGCTAACTATCATTTTGTGCATCAGCCTTGAAAGAGACAAACTGACATTACCTGACTAAATCTTGGAATTATTTCAAATTTTACTTCTAATATTCCCATGGGCACTTTAGCTTCCGCACCGACCCCATTGATTTCAACAGAACAACTCAGACGCCCATTTGATGACAAAAGAATATCTCGCCATGCAAGGAAATGAGATGCAATCAGAGTGGTGTCACCAGACGGATCTGTTTTTATAAGGACTAGATGAATACTGTCTGACAATGACAGTAGAGTTGCTGTATCAGCCATTTTTCCACCATCCTTCTGTAGTTCCAGTAAAAAGCCTGCCATTGAAAATGTAACAGGAAAACTGACATTAACCAAAGCTGAACAGTTTCGGTAATCATCAGGTCCCGGATTGTTCAAACATCGGATAGCGCTATCCACCAGATATATCACTATCCAGTGTAAACAAATTTATTCAGTGGATAGCGTCATCCACCTTTTGAACAACTGGGGCCAGGTCATAAACAATAATAATACAGTCACTCAAACCTCTATTAAGCAGCCATCTATGAATTTCTTGAAATTTTCCTTTGCATATTTACTGTAAATTTGACCTCTATTCAATGGTCACTTCTATAGATCAGACATCAAGGGGCTAATTTTATTGTAATTTATTGTTACATAAACTGTTCACAATCAATAAATGGCATATTTTGTGACTTTAAGATAAGGAAAGCAAATCTAGTTTCTTTCACAGCTAATCAAATACAACATAACATTGTAATCTGGGTATTGAATATATAAATTATGTTAAAAATTTTCAACCTACTAAGGTTGATTCTCTATTTCCTCTGTCTTCTAGCCCTAATTATTCATGAATTAGGGCAAGGAGCAAAAGAAATTAAGAATCAACCTAGGTTAAAGAATTTTAACACGAATTTAATTTTTGACCTGTAACATTTACATGTCTCTCTCTTCATGTTGAATGAGGTTTTACATTGCTGATAATGTGCTTGACTATAAAGATGCTTGACTTATGAAAGACTCCTCAGAACATCCAATAGCCTGTGTACAGACGTCCCCCCTCCCTCAGGAAAAATCGGGAGAGCAAACGTCTGTGAATCGCCCACGAAAATCGTGTTCCCATTTCCCTGGAATGTTGGGGACAGCCTCTGATTGGTTGTAATGTTAATGCCATGACCCATATAATTTGCGGTGTTGTGATTGGTGAATGAACCTCAGAATAGATTCCCCGGGGAAAAGCTCAGCCTTTGTGGACATTCATATCTATTTACCGGTACTTGTATTTCGGCTCTCTCGAAAAGGCATGAGAAGTTACCACCAATGTTTTCTGCTCGGTATTGTAAATAAAAGAGAAGGCATACAAAATCCAACGTTAACAGCCAAGGCAGGTCAAGCTTACCACAAAAAGATTCTATTAATGAATTGATTATTTGTATTAATGAATCCGTTAGTCGTTTCCGTAACTGGTGTCAAATTTAAATCGGCATTCCTGTATGCGTAATGAGCAGGGAATATTTTAAGAGAACTTCTCTGCATTTGGTCAGATTGAAAATCTTTGAATGGATTAAATGTCTTAGAAGACAATTACATCAAATTCAGGGAAACTGAGCCGGTAGAAATTTCGTAACTGAATCGCGTGTGAATTCATGGCTCATTACGCATGCAAGAATGCACACAGAGATGAATCTCAAATCTACAACTACCAACGGTTCAACTTTCGAATAATAAAAACATCAATGGCATCTTGGAAGGTACGCTTGACCTGGCTTGACTGTAATCAGAGATCTTACTAGTATATCTGGATTTTTGGGTGGATATTGCGTGAAGATGTTCGGCTAGCCTGTGCACAGACGCCAGAGCTATTTTTTGACCTACATGCACCTTTTCAACTGTCCGCGAAAAAGCAAAAAAATAATTTATGCAAATGTATACTGGAACACGATTAACGATGGCGATTCACAGATGTCTCCTCTCCCGATTTTTCCTGACGGAGGGGGGATGTCTGTACACAGGCTAAACATCCAAATACTTTAATTATATTTCGCCTTACTGTTGTTGTAACCAATAAAAAAATATTGTAAACAGAGTGATCAATTAAATTGCCTTCTTGGTACGTAAATTTCTGCTGCATCATAGTCTTTTTTTAATTTAGAAAACCTCTATTAAGCAATCACCTGGCTAATTCCTGAGGGTGACCGCTTAATAGAGGTTTGACTGTAATGGTAACAATTTGTGCAATGGTTTAATGAGCAAAAAAAACAACTCTGTAGGTACATCACTCTTGTAAATTTCTTTGCGGTCCCGGCACAACTATGACATGAAATGACAAGGGGGTGTTAATTTAAGCTACACATAATGTGGTAAGATTACTTTAATTTACTAAATATCACTATAACATATCTATTAATTTAACCCATTCACCCCTGGAGATTTTGCTGAAAATGCATTTTAAAGCCAGTTGAGCCATTTTCTGGTCACTGTTGTGCTATTAAGCGTTAAAACTTACCCCAAAGCCATTTACAGATCATACACTTTGTGGCCTTCTGATCCAGATGCAAAATATTAGCTTGCGAAGTTCAGGCATGCACAAAAATCAAATCAAAGTTTTGCTAGGCATTTAGTAGGCTTTATTTTGGTGGGAAAGGAAGGGTAGGTGGGTAGTGGTACAAGATGTTCATGGCAATTTTCAGGTCAATGTTACATGATTTTTTTCCTTTTTCTCTGGTGTCCTTGACTGAATTGTGCTCATTCTGGTATGGTTTCAAAGATCTCTTCACTCTGCACAAGTTAGTGTATAAAGTATGTCTGTTTCCTTGTCTATTAAAACTGATGATGTCACAAGTGGTAGAAGGGACGGGGATCGGCAGGGGGCGGTTACAGGTGCCTCAGGGGTGATTGGGTTAACCTTTCCCTAGAGGAGTACATTTTCTTTTACTCATCTACCTTCACTAATATCAGGTTCACAGGCACAAGGAACAGGTCTTGATTTAAATCGCTGTCCTTTAAAATGAACGTGTAGAGTAAAAGTGGATGTAACTTTTCCTCGCATTGGTTCAGGATCCTGTAGATGCTCTAAGAATGCTTTTCCTCCAAGAATCTGAAGATACAGATACCTCTTGGTGGGATCAACTCCAACTGTAATATGCAAGACATGACAATACATTTACAATGAAATGGCTATAACAATAATGGTTCATGGTCAGTTTGATCCTGAGCAAATATCTACAGTTATATTAAAAGAAACAAATGCTGCCAGACTGTGTCAGAGTTTGGTTTCCTTTAGGGGTTCAATAAAGCACCCTGTCCCAGATAAGTAGCTGCCAGATTAGTTGCCTATAAAGGTTTAATTCTAATTTGTTGACCAGCGTACTGGTCTCTTTCATACATGTATGGGGTCTTCTCTTCAGGGTTGGGGGGGGGGGGGGTTGCTGGATTCTGATTGAACCAGGCAACAACCAGCATACAGTCAGAGGTCGGGATAAAGAAAATTATTTATGGTGAAAACCGTTAACACTTGAAATATTATTTTCAGAAATGTTTATTGTGTTAGAACAAAGATGTGGACGTTCAAACTAGCCACAAAACCACAAACTAATTAACTTTCTTGCTTGCAGTGGGTTTCTCATGCCTGGTTTACTTTTTTTCTCACAACACAATAGCTTTCAGAAATACTCTGGTGTTCATGGTTATCCCGGTGCGACTGTAACTTTATAAAGTGTTAGGTAGCAATTAGATATACAGCTACAAGGCTGCATGTCCATGAACATGTATTTATTTAATATTTTAGTGGCTCGGTGCCTCGTCAATCGAGGTTAGAGTCTTAGAAGGTATACATTTTAGTGGCTCGGAGGCAAGGTGGCTCTCCAGGACTGCCGAGCCACGAGCTAGTTGAATGATAAGGTCGTTTTATCTCACTGACGAGACATGGCCACCGGGCACACGAAAGTAAAAAAGTTTTTCTGTAAGTAATATCCTGTGACTTAGTTATATATGCCGTCGTTCCAAATCAAATATATTTTGATTTGACGTCGTTTTACCTCTTGTGGGAATTTCTTCAATAGCTTCTGCCCTTTTTCTGCCCTCTGGTCGTCTTCGTTCTCTTGCCAAACCTTCGAATTTTAGTGTGTTCATCACATCATCGACGATGCCTCTTTCCTTTAACGCATTCAACAAACCTGCTTCATCGAGCGCACCACTTTCAAGATCGTCGCCTCTGAAAGATTCATCTACGCATTCCTTAATCCGAGAATGAACATTCATTTGTGATAGATGGTTGTGAATGATCTGTTTTAGTTCTTGAACCTTTTCCGTAGGAAGAGACATGGTTGTTTTCGTTTGAAATATAGCGCCGATGGCGCCCAGGTTCCGGAAACGGAAACTGCGCACAATGAGTTTTGCGCTTACATTTTTTTTGAAAGCCGCTGCTTCATGATACTGTTTTTCCTGCCTGCGCGTGCCAACCTTAATTTTACCGCTGTTATTTTACCACGGACTCATTTCTTCTTGGCGCAAAAATTTGAACGTAAAGAAGAATTTGTGGAAATATGTGAACGACTCACATTTTTAAGTGAATTGTTGTTATGGAGCAAGTTAATGATCTGTCAGAAGCACTTCCCATGCAGGCCTCTCCGACTTATCATGTGGAAGTTCTTCAAGATCCTTGCAGGCGAGTATTAAAAATTTTGAGGGCAACATAGAATACCTGGCTACTCAGCATAACGAAGGCATAACATAAAAGGCACTCATTTATTCAGCAAGATGCAGATTAGTGGCCTGGTATTCTGAAATTTAGGGATTTTAGCCGTTTTAAAAATAGAGGTATACTATAACCACAGTTGTCAGTACAGTTCGTCATTTGGTATGGGTTCGTTTTCGTCATTACTGAGGTGTTACTCTTGTAGGTTAATTAATCAACTTCCTTTGTATCCTAGCCCTAATTATTCCTGATCATGAATAATAAAATTAGGTTTAGGAGACAAAAGAAAGTGAAAATATCCCTAGGTTGAAACCATTGTAACCTGAAAGGTGAACATAGGCTCAGACTCTTTCATTTACATGTAAATTATTGCTTAAACAGAGTTGAATGACATCAGTTACTTTCCTAGCAGTACACAGGACGCATGTCATACATGAACCTTGTATATGGCCCAGCTCACCACGAGTCCTTCGTAGCTCAGTGGCTAGAGCATCCGACCAGTGTACAGAAAGTCATAGGTTCAATTTATTGCTCTAGGGGAATCAGATTTTTGCTTTGTCCCATGCTCGTGACATGTTCCTGTGTGACATGTTACTTTATCACAATATTATTATCATTATAGCACGGCTAGAGCTGGTATAATAAAGGAACATGTCAGGAAGTTTTTGATGTATGAGACCACTGTGTATGGCGACACTACCTTTATGGAATTCACAGATGGTTTCCTAACAGAGCATGTTAAATCAGTGTCTGTTTGTGACACAGAGATGGTCTCTAAAGATAGACAGGTATATTTCAATATCTCTCAATTAAATACCTTCTGTCTAATTAACACCCCCTGTGTTTTCATCAGACTGACGCCAGTCTCTAATAAATGCCCCCTGCTAATAGACATCCTACATGACAATTGCACCAAATAAGCAAGTTGTTTAATTTCAAGTCCAAAATAAGGATGTCTCTGTCATTGAAATTGAGCTTTAAAAAAATGATCTGGATCTCTAAATGCTATAGATGTACATGTGTCAATGGATGGACTTATTTACCAGCTTTTCTGGACACTGGCCTGCCCAGAGGGAATGTGCCCGAACAGGACTCAGGTCCCATGTGAGGTGCCATCCCTACCCACTCCCACAACCCTGTAAAGGTTGACCACACCACCGGAGTCTACAAACCCTACTCTTTTTGAATAGTAATGTGGGTTCTTTTACGCCCCACAAGAACAAATCAGTGAAAGTGCTGTGAGACGGGACCTACGGTTTTTCGTGTTTATTCGAGAAGACTAGAAAGTCTAATCATTTACAGATGTCATTATAAAGGCAGCACTTTCTTCTCAGTTATTTAAAGACCCTGAGTATTGGTCTGGCCGGGGTTTGAACCCGCAACCTCCTGCTCGGCAGACCAGTGCTCTCCCAACTGAGCTAACCAGGTAGCGGTTTGACTGGATAGTCTGCTGTTTATAAACTGTGTCTTGCTATGCTACTGTATTTGCTAAAAGAATTTTCATTTTGTAGAGTTTGCCAGAGTTATGAGAATAAACATCTCTCTCTTTTAAGTACCTGCTATCTTTTAAATGTCTGTGCTTGGCCTCCCTACAATTAAAATAGATCAAGGTCAATTAGATCAAACTTAGCCCATCCGTGACGGAATTCAAGTGTTTACTCAGGCAAAAGCTTCTTAATGACTGCTTTATTTAATTAATTTAATTAATTTTATTGACCTTTGTCTTCTTTTATCATTGTTATATTCTTATTGTCATGTACTTGGTTTATAATTTTGTAATGTAAAATTGACTCTGAAAAGCCCCGTGGGGACGAGCCAATAAAGTATGTGTGTATGTATGTATGTATCATTTACAACTTATTCAACAGAGCTTTGCAGTGAACATGATAATTTTGAGGCAATACGTTAAAGGCTGGTTTTCACAAGTGACACACGCGAAATCGTAATCAGAAGCGTAGAACTTTTTGATCTAGTGAAAACAGTGTTCTGATTCTTTTGATCAAGTGAAAACTGGGTCGTTGGGGTCGCATCCAGAAGCAGAAGAACTAAACCAATTACAAAGCATAGGAACGTGCATTGTGATTGGTCTATCCTTGTGCTTCTGCTTTACTCTGACAATCTGATTTTCACAAAATGGAAAGAGGAATGTGAGTGATGGAGTTGTGAGCAGAGTTGGAAGAAAACTGGAAAAGTTCTGATTCTTCTGACTCCAATTCCGTCGCACTTATCACTCTGCTTACGACTCCGAGTGGGACTCTGTCGTTAGTGAAAACCAGCCTTTAGTTGAGTCAGGGGTTTTGGGTAGGGGCTGATATAGCAGCAATACCTCCCTACAGTTTTCTTTCTTGAAAATTTAAAATGCCTCATTAGCACTGGACTTGCAGTCCAGAGGCCCCCAGGCCATTATTAAAATTGAAGAGTACTTGTGCATTGCTTTAGAGAAAAGATAAAACAATTTTACAGAGTGACATAAAGGTTCCTTGCTAAAAAGCCTTTTAGCTAATTATTAGCAGAACTAGCCCCATAACTCATTTTTTATTGCATGTATTTTTAGGGCAATCTTAAGAATTGTAAGTTTGCAATCCATGTGTTCCAACTACATGATGATGGTCCAGCAACAGAGGAGTTGGAGGAAGACATTGCAGCTGCCAATCACTGGCTTTTACCTTCTGGTTTGTGTCACATCATTAGCATTAATGCCACACCAATATCAGCCCTTTGCAGAACTTGGTCATGTGCTGGGATACCACTTAGCGTCTGCATTGTCCATGCATTCAACTGATTCAAGCACGTGACTAACTTCTGCAAAAGGCTTATTTTTTATTTCCGAAAATGCATGCACCTTGAAATAGTACTGTCAGTAGTGCAAATAATTCTTAAAACTGCAAGTAGAAGAGGCGAAGATTTTATCTATGAATTTGTTTGCTCCATTGGTAATCACAACTAATTTAATAGTTTGTTTCATTTTTATTATAAATATCTATTTTGCAGAGGATTTTCATGGAATCTGGGACAGCTTGATATTCGACTCAGATGTCAAAGCCCAGGTAAATGTTAAATATGTGGTGCTTCAATTTTATTCTTGCTTGCAATCCTGTTATCATACATTACGTAACCTCAGCCAAAAACAAAATGAAAATAAAATTTAAACCAACGCATGTTTAGTGATCACTAAAACTAGCTGTATAGTGGATATACCACTGAGTCAGATAGCTAGAGAATACTAAGCCTTGCTATAAGTAGAAATTACTGTAAATTCACTGTAAATTCCATCAGATTGTAGACTCTTTACTAACATATTTGTCTTAAGTTAACAACCAATGAATAAAAGGAGATTCCTTTAGTTACTTATAATCAGGTGTTAATGATATCATTAATGATTATATACCACAGTGACAGGTTTGTTCATTTGCTGCTGTCATCACTGTTTAGCTTTTTTCCAATTAATTATTTATTAATAAATCGTTGTTCCTGTTTTCTTCTCCCTACTTTTAGCTGATCAATTATGCAATGACAACTTTACTCTTCTCAGACAGGTTTGAAAAATTCTTACTCCTGCTCATCCCTTTTGTTAATAAACACGTACTTGTTGACTCTGTAAAGGCAAGTGTAACAACTGCAAGTGAGTTGTCTCAATGTTCTGTGTACAAATTATGTACAGCTGTAAATGTGAAAAAACTGTTTTCAGCCTAAAAGGTTGTGCTCTCTATTGTACTTGTGTAATTTTATTTGTCAGTGATGTTACAGTTGTACATATTGGTCCCAAAAATATCATTCTTAATGATGATATTTTGTTCATGTCTTAAGTTGAATGTGTAAGACCTGTTATATTCTTGTTTGCAGGGGTGTAAACAGCAATGTCATATCTTGGAATCGAGTTATCCTTCTTCATGGTAAGAGCAATTTATTTATTAATAGCAGTGCTGTTGTAGTTTGTATTCTGGGACTTGATTTATGAATTAACACACTCATGTACAACCATGATCTGCAATACATTGTTTATTACTATATCACAAAAGAAATCTAGAAAAATCAGATGCAAATACACCATGCATAAAAACCGAAAAGCTAATGGAGGTAATGGAGCTAATGGACCATTATTATGTTAGTTTTAAGTTTGGTTGGATTAGTCAACGATCAATGATGCAAATGACTTCATAAATGTTAAAACCCATGCAAGAGAGAAACCTTCGCTTGCAGGGTATGGATACACTAAAAAGAATAGGGAACACTATCTGAGGAAATGCTTTTGAACTCAAGAAAAAGATACCTGGGTTAAAATTTAACCCCCAGTTGGTGCTGGTATGTAATCAGCCTTCAAACAACTCGGCTAGCTGTGACATACAAACAGTGAATTTTGAACCTGTGCACTTTTTCTGGTGCCATTATGGGTGGTACATTGTGTTAACTTCTACATTACATGTAGATTATCTTTGTGAAGAGAACTTGAAATCATATGGCATTAAGTGGCTTTTTCAATTTTTCAAGGTCCTCCCGGAACTGGCAAGACATCACTTTGCAAAGCACTGGCCCAAAAGCTGAGTATTAGATTGTCTGACAGGTATGTTTCTAAAGCTCTATATTGCTTAATATAGGTTTTCTAGTTTTTGGGCATAAAGTTTAAAATTAGTTCAAAGTAATTAATTTTGTTTTCCTTTGTCAATGCATGGGTATTAAATGGTATAATATTTTATAAGTTTTAACCATTCAAGAAAATATAAAATTCAAACAAAGGGAATAATTGAGCCACAATAATTATAGCCATACTGTGAATTCTAAATTATTAGCTATTAGCCCTTTAAGTCCCAATATCCACATACAAATTCTCCAAGCAGATGTCCATAGATTTCCTTTAAGAATTTGTTGAGAGAATTTGATAAAAGATCAAGGCATTTTCTCTTTAGTGATCATTTTAGCAATTCTCATAACCTTTTCTCTTGACAATGCATGGATATTGTTTGGAGAAAATTGATGTTGGTCACTACTGGGACTTAAAGGGGTAAACTCATCAACAAATATGAGTACGTGGGAACTGTGTAATGCATAGCCATAAGAACTCTGTGACTGGCATCCCCCTAGACACTGTCACACTCAAGGCCGTACATGTGCTCTAAGGAATATTGAAGAGAACCTGGTATACTGAAAAATCAAGCTTGTCCGGCATATGATTTGTGTGAAAGAAGTATTAAAGATTTTCTAGTTGCCCGAGATAAAAGAAATTGGGTGCCAGGAGCCACTGGGCTCTGCTAGAGCACAGATTTGACACTGCTACAGTCTAACTATTGGAACCAAGCATACTTACAGGGAGGCCAGGGTAGCAAGCAAAAACACTTTAAGAGCGTGAGTTATGAGAGACAATGCAAACTTATGGCCTGTAAAACATAAAGAACCCCGTGAAACTATCAGAACTTGGTCCCTGATAATGCCAGCAATTACCTCTAGTTTCAGTTTTAGTTTGATTTCAGTGCTGGGACTAATAGGTAGATGATTACTAATATTTGAGATACTCTGCATCATGTTTCATGGTATGTTGTTTATTGCCAGGTATTCTTATGGCCAGTTAATTGAAATAAACAGCCACAGTTTATTTTCCAAGTGGTTTTCTGAGGTAAGTTGAAACAATGCTTGTTTTAAATACATTATTCAGTGTCTTTCAATCTGAATATTTGTACAAAATGATGCTGGTACTTTGATTTTTAAAACAGAGTGGAAAGTTGGTGATGAAAATGTTTCAGAAAATTCAAGAACTGATTGATGACAAAGATGCATTAGTCTGTGTGTTGATTGATGAGGTATGAAGTTTTGTATGAGGAAACCTAGCCTCCCATGCAGGCGCTTTTTTAATAGGGAAGCTCATTTTTCATCCCTCCCCACGAATGCCTGCACAACTGAAGACAACATTCCTTTCCCATTGTTTATTTGACCAATCAACAGTTGTGAAATAAAGTGTTGACAGGCTGAACACGGCTAAAACGTGACCCTAGAATTACCCGTTTTCCTTCTTTTCTTTCCTTCACTAAGGTTATGCAGTGCATGGAGTATTCCAAACTTTGACTAAATCTTACTTTTGCCGCTCTGAATCTAACATTTATTAGAGGTCAGCTTTCCCAGTGTTTCGTTTAGATCAAGTAGCTATCAGATTACCCTGCGGTCAAGGTCAACTTTCCAGAATTTGAAATTAGTACAATGTGATTGGCTAAGCTTGGGAAAGTAATGTTGTCTTCGGTTGAGCAGGTGTTTGTGGGGAGGGATGAAGGATGAGCTCCCCTAAAAACTCCTGTGTGGGAAGCTATGGGGAACCCTCATATAACAAATGACATTCTTTGCTCAACTTATAGTAAAATATATGAAACATCAGGTTAATAGCATGGAGTGCTTTTTCTCTGTGGTAGGTTGAGAGTTTAACTGCTGCTCGTAAATCAGCCATGCAGGGTCAGGAGCCTTCTGATGCAATAAGAGTTGTAAATGCTCTGCTTACTCAAATTGATCACATAAAAAGGTAGGCAAAAATAGAAACACCTCCAAAAGATGAAATCTTCCTCAAAAAGATACCTTAAACACTGTAGAAAGGGGGCTTGAAAATACCATTCCTAGACAGTCACTCAGAGAGGAAGCTGACGAACTAGTAGTTAGCCTCGGTACCTCGGGAGAGCTTGCTGGCAGACTACTGCATGACTAGTGTACCATTGGCATGTCATGTTGTTGACATGGGGTGGGTTCTTGAAATCTGTTGGCCTTTTAATTTCTCTTTAAATGCAGTACACACTTTTCTATCCACAGACTCAGTGCTGGTCTCCAATGAGTCTCTAATGAGTTGAGTGTAAAGTAAGCTTTCTCTCAATTAACAGATGCCTCAGTGTATAAGACAGGCATCGGAAGACGGTGGCTGTTGGCTTTTTTGGACTCTTTTTACGAAGTGAACACCTTTCTAAGATGGAACTTAGTTCTAGTGCCAGTAGTTTTCTCCTTGGGGGACATCTGACTGCACCATGTTCCATAGTTGTTAAGATTCAAAATGTTTTAATTCTTTCTAACTAGGGAAACTTTAGAGGGTGCTTACCAAAAGTCAGTATCTAGGCTTTTTTGGATCTTGACTTCATTTATACCCAATACTGTAATAATCTTTCGTAACAACTAGGATAGTTGAGGATTCAAAACAGTTTTAATCTCTACAACTACAAACATGGCCGAAGCTCACACACTTATACCTATGCACGCATGCGTAGGAAAATACCGCTGATCATTACAACTTTCCCCTCCAAAAAAGAACAACAAACAAAAATACAAACAACACAAAGAAAAAGGGTTCTGCAGAGAATAACCAAGCATTAATGCTATTTGTGAAAACTGAAAACAGTTAATGTTCAGAATGCTTAACATTGTCCTTGAATCAGAATGGTCTCCGTGAAAAGTGAGAACGGTTGATGTTCAATGTTCACAAATGTTAAACACAGTCTTAAATCGTAATGGCCTCTGTATGACCCTTCCACTCCTAGTCTTGTATTGCTCTGACGTCTTCATAGAGCCATCGCCTGAATGATTTATCCCTTGCTCTTGGGACGCTGAGGCAGGTTCCTCCACTACTGGGTTTGCTTGACTGACTTGTTCCTTGCAAGAGAAACTTCCATTTACACTCCCTGACGGAGGTTCATGAAAATGTGAGTCGTCTGTCGATGTAGGACTGCAAATTGGCACTTCTTTCTATTACTGCGGCATTCTCCACCATTATCTGTTTGCACTTTGTAAGACCTAGGTGTTTCTGCAAGGACCACTACCACCCGTGGTTCCCAACGCTTTCCCATGCATGCCCTGATTCGTCGCCTTTTTTCCAAACTGTTAGCTGTTTGGTGTGCTGATCAAAGTAGTATCTTTGCTTCTCTTGCTTCAGCCTTAACTTCTCCTTTACTTTGGTTGGATCCTGGACTCTCAGTTGCAGTTGAGCTTCAGTCGTGGGGATAATTGATCTGGGTCGTCTACTCATGAGCAGTTGCGCTGGTGAGCCGACCTGATCAATAGGTGTGTTCCTGTATTCTAATAATCCTAGATATGGATCATAGTTGCATTGTTTTGCTATGGTTAGCAGATTATTTACCGTTCGAACTGATTTTTCAACGAGCGCATTTGCTTGTGGAGTTGTGGGTAGAGTGGACTGGTGGTAGTGTGTTTGAATTGCCACTGTTTCGTGAATGACTCAAATACTTTGGATGAGTACTGAGAACCATTGTTGCTGATTACCTCACATGTTATTCCATGATGTGCAAAAGCAGATTTGATGTGGGTGATGACCGTGTTACTTTTGGTGTCTGGCAGTTTGGCTACTTGAAAAAAAAAAAAAAAACGCGGGTGGTAATCTACAATAATGAGGTATTTTGATTTATCCCAGGTGGACAGGTCTGTTGCTACCTTTTCCCAAGGCTTGCTTGGTAATTGGGAGGGAATCATTTGGCTCCTTTGCATTTTGCTTTTGGTGTTGTTGGCATATATTGCATCTTGCAATCTTTTCCTGAATTTCAGAACTCATCCCAGGCCATTATAACACATCTCGTGCTCGTGGCTTGGATTTCTCTATGCCCATGTGGCCTTGATGAATTCTCTCTAACATTTCCTTCCGCATAGAGGTTGGGATAAGAATTCTTTCACCCCTTAGAATGATACCGTTCAGTTCAGACATTCAATCTCTCACGTCCCAATACATGCCGGTACTGTTACTGAGACAGGCGTTTGTTCCTGGCCATCCACGTTTGATGATTTCACTGACGTGTGTCAGCGACTCGTCGTTGGCTGTTTCCTCTCGTTTTTCTTCAAGTTTGGGTTTTGCGAGTGGTAGGCTTGACTGTATCAGATGACCGTGGAGTGCATTTTTTCCTCTTCCAAGTTGTTATCATTCTGTTGTTTCAGGAATTGATGCACAGGACAGTATGTCTGGGAGTAATAACTCCCTTCCGGCTTATATTCTAGTGTGTAGTCTTACTTTTGCATTCTGAGCAGAATTCTTTATAGTCTGGGTGGTACTGTCGATAAGGGCTTCTTCAGAGTTTTTTCTTGGGGTTTGTGATTTGATTCTACGTGCACTTTCTTTCCTTACGTGTATTGGTTGAACCGCAGCAGGCTGAACTCAACTGCCAAGAGTTCCTTTTCTGTCTGTGCATTTCTTGATTCGGCCTCAGTTAAAGATCTTGATGCGTAAGCCACGGGACAACCGCAGTAAGACTCCGCTGAGGCCTGCAGGTGAGGCATCGCAACTGACGGTTACTGGTTTTTGTACATCAAAAAACGTCAGAACGGGACCTCCATTCTCAGTTAAGACACTCTTAATTTATTGAAAGGCTTTGACTTGTTGATGTGACCACTGAAATTCAATGTCCTTTTGCAGAAGCACCACAATGGGTTCAGTGACAGATGCCAGATTGGGAATGAATTTTCCGAGGTAGTTGACTGTACCGAGTAATCTTTCAACTCCTTTCTTGTCAGTTGGTGCTGGCATGTCCTTAATGGCACGAAGCTTTTTATCATCGGGCTTGATCTCCTCTTGTGTAACTTTGTGACTAATGAAGGTCACCTGCTTGACTTTGAAGACACATTTTCCCTTGTTTAGTGTCAAGTTAATCTTCTTACATCAATCCAGGACTGAGTTTACACGACAATCATGTTTCATTTCCGTGTCAGCGTGCACAATTATGTCATCAATGTCAGTTTCAACACCTTCCAGGTCACCAAAGTGTTGACTCATTTCCTTCTGAAAAAACGTTTTGAGCAGATTTAATGCCAAATGGGGTAACTTGATAGCAAAACCTTCCTAATGGCATACTTTAGGTGGTAAGAAGTTGACTCTCTTCATCTAGTGGTATCTGCCAATAGCCTCGATTGGTATCTATCTTGGTAAAGCATTTTGCATTTGCCATGCGGGTCGTGATGTCTTCATTGGTGGGTAGCTAAAAGTGTTCCTCTTTATGGCCTTGTTCAGGTGTCTTGGATCCAAACAAATGCGCAAACTACCATCAGGCTTTTCAACAATGGCCATTGTATTAACTTAGTCAGTGTATCACTCCTCGCTTCTCCATGTCATCCAACTCTGCTTTCACTCTCTCGAAGTGCGGCTGGTATTGTTCTAGGAAGATTTATAACTGGTGAAACAGTTGGATCTATTTCAAGGTGATAAGGTTTCTCTAAACACCCAGTGAAGTCCAGTGAAGCCTTGTGCATATTTCTGAAAGTCCTCTTCTTTTAGTTCTTGAGATGTTTTTGTAGTTTGGCTGCTATGATCAGTGGTGGTTTCTTCCCCTTCTGTTTTTGCTGTCATGACAACTTTCATTAGGCCCACGTTTTGCGAGGAACGAAGTCCCAGCAGCCCTGGCTGATTTGTTTCCACTGCATGGACTGTTAGCTCTTGTTCAAAATCTAACTTGGATTTCACAGGTAATTTTATGATTCCTAGTACCTTGAGATAATCTTCTGAGTATCTAGCCAGCTTTTGGTTGCACAGATCTATTTGGGGGTTGTCCCCTTCAATCTCCTTGAGTTCCTTTTGTGGCATTATGTTCACTTCTGAATCAGTGTCCACTTTTAGTCGCACGAGATGTTCCTGTACTGATAAAGTCATATAGCGCTCGTCATTCGGAATCTGAACTTCTGTAGTGACTGCTTCTACAAACAGTGGAGGCTCGCAGTTATTCTCCTCTTCTTTGTCTGCCATTAGCCCATGGACTTTACGTTGTGACCAGCACGAGCTCTGGAAATGATGCTGTTTCTTGCAGTTGTAAAATGTCTTGCAATATGCTGGGCATTTTCTTACATTATATCTTGTGCCACAATTTCTGCTATTAAATATCTTGCTGGAGCTGGGTCTTTCTTCATTGGCTGAGGGTGTCTTTCTGAATGGTGGCTTTTTCTTCGCCACTCCAATTCCACGCAAGGCTGAGTCGTTTGCCATGTCTCTTAGTTGTATCTCTGTTGCCTCTGCAGATCGAACCATATCTATAGCCTTTTCCAGGGTGAGGTCTGAAATCCTGAGCAATCTCTCTCTTGTCTTGGTGTCACTGATGCCAAGTACAATTCTATCTTTGATAAGGGAGTTCTCTAATGCACTGAATTCTCGTTTAACTCAGCTTTCTCAACACAGTAACATATTGATCAATGGTTTCGCCACTTTCCAGGGCCCATGAAAAGAGGTTTTTTCTCGGTTCACAGTATTCCTCGAATTTCTCTAATACTTTATCAATGTTTTTGTCACCACCTTCTGCATACCATGTCAGAGTGTTAAAAACATCGATAGCATCGTTGCCAATAACTGTTAGCAGCGTAGCTACTCTGGTTGCACTTTCCTTCGCGTTTATGCGAGTTGCAATTTCGTAATTTGTGTACTTTTGTTTGAACTTCTTCCAGTTTTCTGAGACGTTTCCGCCTCGCGGATCGAGTGGTTCCGGGGAAGAGAGGCCTAAATGGAACGCCATTTCTTGTATAGTGGCGAAGTCGTCTTGATCCGTATTTTCGGCGTTTCCTTGAGTTGTATTTTTGTTATTTAATTAAGGTGTACCTCCGTCTTCTGCTGGTACATTTTCGTTTTCTTCCTCTATCTGGCCGAGGTTTCCTGCGCCTGTTACGGTTTCTTGGGACATGTACTTTTCTAAATCGCCGATGTCAATAGCCGGACTTTGCGTTCTGTCTTCGTTCCAAAACGTCACTCTACTGTCGCAGAGTTTACTTCTCGTGCTTCACTCCTAACACCATGCAATAATCTTTCCTAACAACTAGGATGGTTGAGGATTCAAAACAGTTTTAATCTCTGGTAAGGAACTACACAACATGGCCGAAGCTCACACAGTTATATCTATGCACAACCGTTGATAATTACAAATATAATGAACAATACAATACATTTTATCAATTCTCCCAATTGGGGTTTTCGGAATTATTTTACAGGACTCATTAGGCTAAGTAATGTACGAAATAACTAAAAATTACATGACTTTGTATAAAAGACAAAATTAAGTCAATTGAATTTGAATGCTAGAACTACAATTATGGGGAGCAAGGGTGGCGCAGTGGTGAGAGCACTCTTCTCCCACTAATGTGGCCCGGGTTCAAATCTCGGCGTCGACGCCATATGTGGGTTGATTTTGTTCTTGGTTCTCTCCTTTGCTCCGAGAGGTTTTTCTCCGGGTACTCCGGTTTGCCTCTCTCCTCCAAAACCAACATTTCCTAAGTCCAAATCGACCAGGATTCAGGTAGACGAAGAACCACTTAGTGGCTGTGTTACCTCTAACTCGTTATTCATTTATTTATGGGAATTAAAAAGCATTAAACCATTAATTAAAAAAGATCAACAAACTACGGGTAAATGTTCTATTTCCGCGTTCTGATTATCTCAAGTCTGGCACTCCTTTTGAAAACCTCAACAGAGGTAGAGTTAATAAAGACTGTGCCAGTATTTAGAAGCCTTGAAGCGGAAGGCACGCTGTGCGGCGGAGGTTCGACACTGAGGGAAGTTAAGTTGATTGCCCTGTCTAGTGCAATACGAGTGAGTTTCTCAGCGTTTTACAAGCATTGTACCTAAGTAACTGGGCACAAGATCATTGAGAAATTTAAAGATCATGGTTACATCACGTAAGCGTAGTAGCTCTGCGATCGTGAGCAAACCAACTTCATGTAAGACTTGTGTAATGTGATCAAACGTTTTTGTGTTAGTACGTATACGGCCGGCAAAGGTTTGAATAAGGTGTAGTTTATGGATGTGATTTCTTTAGAAGTTTCAGATCATACAGTGGAGGGGAGCAATATAACAGTTCCTAAATACTAGGAAATTTAGGATTATGTGCAGTACATCTTTAGAGATCAAGAGTCGCACCCTATTTATTTGAACTAATGTTGAGAGAGGAGGTTAATGAAGCGATATGCTAATTGAAGGTCAGGTTCGAGCCAAGGTCCTTGGCGAAAGTTACAGGTACTAGATCTTGACCAAGGAAAGGTACGGCGATGTTACAGGGCAACTTGGAGATACGTTTCCTCACCCCAAACAGGACAAACTCGGTTTTGTCAGGATTAATCAAAAAGTGTTTTGCGTTACACCACTCTGCAACGCTTGGCGTAGACATGAATCAATGTGTTTTGACGTAAAAGAGAAATATATCTTAGTGCCATCAACGTATGATTCGATGGTACTAAACTTGATGACGTCGGGTAGATCGTTTATGTACAGGTTGAAAAGCGTTGGGCCGAGAATTGACTCACTATTACACATAACGTACCTAAGGGCTGGTTCTGACAATAACGTTGCAACCGAGTGAGCTGTTGTCTGAACCTAAGAACCCAATAGTGCTGTGCATAGTATTTGAAAATTGAATAATCTGCCTGGAGAAATCAGTTTTTCTAATTGAAAGGGGACTTGTCTTTTTCTCAAAAATTTATCAAAATTCAAACAGAAGAAACTGCCGCCAAATTGAGTGAAACTTGAATTTAACCACTCAAAACGTTAAAAGAAGGTATAAATAACACAGCTAATACTAACGAAAGCACGAATGAACAAATTTGGGGAAGATTGAGGACGGATTGCAATTGAGCTTTTTGAAAACTTGTTGGCCTAACAGTCTTTCAAAGTTCATTTTTGTTGTTTGTAACGTTTGATATAAAGCTTATAGGGAGACACATTCCTCTGACACAAAGTTAAGATTTTGTCATTCACCAGTAATTTCTCAAATTTCATAGCGAATAAGGACGTGTAACTGGCATTATAAACAAAATGAATTAGCCAGCCTTGACACAACTCCTTTATAGTGATGTTACACGAGACAATTCGCAACGGCGAGTTTTAGCGCAACACATCGTTGCAACATTGTTGCGACATTGTTTCGAATGGTTACATCATTGTTCCAACATTTGCAACGCTATGTTGGGCTAAAAATCGTCGTTGCCGATCGTTCCGTGTAAGTAACATCACCTTTAAGGTCTATAGACATCAAGAAACCCTGGATTGAACTGGATCGGATCAACCCTTAATTAACCATTCGAATAGGAGTACAGAGGTTGAACTGATTTGGTCCAATCCAGGTTTTATCAGTGGCCCTTTTACATTACTAATAGCTTTGTACGCTGAATTTATATTCCAGATTTCCTAATGTTATTATCCTTACAACTTCAAATGTGACTGGAGCAATTGATTTGGCGTTTGTAGACAGGTGCAATACTTTGTTGTTAGTTGTTGATGGGGAAACACTGTCTTGATAGCCTGCGGGAATGAAAAGCCCCCCAAAGCCTACGTTTTTATTGAAACCCTGGTCATTGAAAGTGCTTCTAGTCCAATGTTTGCCCATGCGTAACAATGCCTTCGAAAACGGAAGGAAAGTACATGAACATGTAGTGATGCCCCCAGGAGCTCTACGCAAGGGTGATTATAAGGGTAAATTGGAACAGCTGACTGTTTTGTACTTTATCGTGTAGGTCTTGATAGGTATCGTTTGAATTTACGTCTTCAATTTCTTTTTTATGCCCCCTTATTGTGTGTGTGTTTTCTGCAACTTTCTTTTTGCTAAGAAGGAATTTCAAGTTGCTAAGGGTGAAAACTACAGAGAGTATTCAGAAAAAACGGGGTTGATGATGCTATAGTTGTGAGACCTTGTGAGAGTACTCGCCTGGGAGCCTTGGTTCGATTCAGTTCGGTCTTCATTTTGGGAATGTAGTTCTGTTTTTCCCTAACATTCAAGTTTGCCCATGTATTGTAGATGTATATGTTAAAAGTCAAATTTGATTTCAGGTTAATTTTGATTTAACGTAGGTTGATTCTCAATTCCTTTGTCTCCTAGCCCTAAGAGACAAAGGAAATTGAGAATCAACTTAGGGTAAATCAAAATTAACGTGAAATCAAATTTGACCTGTAACATTTTGTACAAACTGACACAAACGCACTGAAAAGCCATGTTGTTAATTTTCATCTTCAGGAATCGACACTTCTTAATTCCAGTTAAGACGTACGAACAGTTGTTTTGTATTAAACGGCCTTTAGTTCTCCTGGTTGCTTAGTGGATAGACAAATTACAGTTAAATTGCAAAGACCTAAAATCGCGTTTTTCTCCAATCAACAGGGCAGACATCAAACAGTACATTGGACCTCCTTCTGTCAATGCGATATTCTCCATTTATCATTCGTGTATAACTGAATTGATGAGGGTAACGATTTATGATGTTTACTTACGAGAAAAAAAAATATAGAAGTATAATATTTATATTCATATTGTGTAGCCTGAGAAAACAGCCGATATTTTGCGACGACGCCACTGGTTTCCCTCCGACGGAAATGACGTCTGTGGAACAGTGCAGAAATTCCATACTGATCATGACGTATTACTGTCCAGATCTGGGTAGTGTCTCTGATTGGTCGAAGCAAAGTTCCCGCGTGGCACAACCAGTCAGGACCGCTACTCATATCTGGGTAGTAATACGTCATCAGTGTGGAATTTCTGCACTATTTCTTCAGACTTCATTTTGCGGGGAAACCAGTTTTGGCGTCGTGATATGTCGGTTGTTTTCTCAGGCTAAATATTGCGCTGCGTCAAAAATTTCATGTTAATTTTCTTTCTGTTTGTTTTTAGGTGGGAATTATTTCTCCAGTGCAACAGATCCTCAGTATACGGTACGTACGATTGACGGTAACTATTTTTTCCAACGTGTCGTCATCACTACTTTCTCTTTACTTTGTTTCTCTCAGGGTTAATGATAGTTGTGTTGAAGACCATGGAAAATTTAAACTTACATCTTTGTGTCAAAACGTTTGGCAAAACGATTACCAATTAACAGTGTTCTTTCTCACCTTCACATTTAACCAGGGACTTGGAAGTTTTACGGTAAGCGAGTACATGTATCAAATATATTGTCTTATTTTTTTGTCGTTTTGAATTTAACGCATATTATCCATCGTTTTTGTGCGGTCGCTATTGCATCCTGGAAGTATCACTGTGAAGCGATGCTGTCATAATTACACTGACTTAAATAGAAATTCGACTAAAAAGGTTTTAGATTGGCTTCATTACTGCGGCAAGAAGAGTATGAGTGTAAAGTTAGACTATTTTAAAATTTCCTAATTAGATTTAAGTATCATTTTGCTTTCTTTCTTGCAGTTTTGTTAATAACGATGCCACAAATCTTAGTCTGGAACTTTTAGAAATAGCAAGGTACGTTGCTTTATTTATTCTCCTCAGTTTCAGTGCAAAAACAGCAAATTAGACGGATCCCAAAATCAGAGACCAAAATTCGGTGGCTAAAACATAGGTGAAAATCAGTTGGGTAACCATATGCTCTTTCTTGTTTCTTTAGTTCTAAATATTTGTCTTTTTTGAAAGACCCATTTATACGATAAACAACAATTCAGACAATAGATTTTGGGCCCCTCCCACCTTCTTATGGCTGTTTTTGCTAGATTATTAACCGCAACGCAATGGTTTGTTGCCTTCTTTTGTAAAGGAAAAGCCACGGGTTGAGTGGTAGAACACTCAGAAAGATCCCGTTTTTGACCCACGCACGACACATCCAGGTTAGTTTTAAACATGTGCTAAATGTTAAAGTCCATTTCCGAGTTGTCCCGAGCCATTCTTTCAGAGCAAGGCTAAGTGTGAAGCCTTTGTTCAACCTGAAAACGATTTTTTATTCTTATGCGAGTAAAACTCATTTTCACAAAAATGGTTTTGTACCTATAGCCTCGTTTTGAAAGAGAGAGTTTATGGAACTCGGAAATGGCCTATTTAGGAGAGGTTGACCTCGCGGCAATGTCGGCCAGCGGTTACGGAAATACGGTACACGTGTGCTTTGGGCAGCCCAGTAATTAGCTGGGTTACAAGATTTTGCAGGGCCCATGTTTCTGAGCAATTCTGCGTGTTCGCCATTACTAATCCTTATCTCGGCTGCGTTCTTCCCCGTCGCTCTCTACTCTCTCTCTCTATCAGGTATAAATATGTATTGTTGACGTTGTGACTGGTTGCCGCTCACTGGACGAAACGTCTGGGAAACAGAGCTAAAATCCTTGTTCTGGGCCCCTACCTGTGTACCAAGATTTGAGTACGCGCCATGATTTGCCTGTTTAAAATGCCATTTCATGTCGATTTGCCAATCAAGGTGAAAGGAAATTCGAAGTGCTCTTCCAGTAATTCTTTCAGTCCTTTGGGACGCCAGAACAAGGATATCGGTGCTGCTTTGCAGACGTTACTAACCGAGGTTAAATTACGTCTGTGACGCATGCTATTAGTGTGGTGGTGCAAGCGTGGTCAGCCTTGCTTGCATCAGCTTCACGTACAAGGTTTTCGTTGCGGCCACTCGCTTCGTTTAGCCTTTAGATTGTGTTTTCCCTCCTTCCATTCCTCCCTTTTTATTTTCCACTGATATATCAGTATGATAGGTGCCTTGTTCCAGTGGCTTTGGGGCTTATTGCTGGAAGGCGCAGGTTTACCAGCCATGGGCGCCTAACTTTCACCCGCTCGTTAACGATAGGCTTCCACTCGTGGGTGACAAATACCACGATAAACTTCGGGTATTCCTGTTTTCATGAGCGCATGCAGTAGAAGAATAATGTCGTTAACGTTTATTGACGTCATATGAGTACATATCAATTATGATTACCGTTACATCAGTCGTTTTAACAATTGAAAATTCTAAGGAAATCCTAGATTTGGAAGAAAATCACAGAAGCACTATCACACTCCATACCAGCTAAATACATTCTCGACTATCGTGATTAGTTTATACCGCAAGAATATGGGTATCTCATTTCCCTAACTGACACTATAACCGAAGACTAAAATTCAGACTTCCATTCAACTTTAATAGTCAGTTTTAACTAACAGTGGCAGATGAGATGTCTCCTTCGCATTCGGTCACTACCAAAGGCATTCTAAGTACAAGTGCAATGACTGGGTGGACAGTTACCCATAGCACAGTTGGAGGCGCACCACCTATCCATGTTAGCCTGCCCTGCCCATGCCCCTGTAGCCTTGCACTTTCCTGTTTGCGGTCCTTGTGTAGAGGGCTTCTGCGTCCATGGAACTTTAGTGGTGGGGGCTCGCGTGGAAGGACTCATTGGCGAATCTGTGCCCGGACCCGCAGTTGTTGGTGCTGGAGCTCCTTTTGGTAAAATCCTGATATCAGCGCAGTTTACAAAGGTTTCCTGTTGTTTATTCAATCCTACTCCACAGTCGCCTTGGCCATTACATCCCCAGTTGTTTCCTACTCTCCACCACCACTGTAACACGCAGTAATCACATGTCAAGCCTTTGGGCAGCACGAGTTTGATGTGGAACTTTCCATTTGAGGATGTATGAAGCTGCCAGCGATTCGAACCATCGGGCTGCAGCAAAACGTGTGTCAGCTGATCCTGAGTGATTGGACGCTTGACCAGCCTGCCAAGGCTGAAGCGAAAAGATCCCTGATGATTGGACGTGATCTTAATCTTGACCTCGATTGTCTCTCCTTCTCTATATGTCTTGGTAATAAAAGGTGGATCATCAGCGTATTTACCAGGGTAGACGTACTTGGCATTTTTAATGTGGTACGGATCACCACAAACTCCACACTTGCCTTTGTTCTTTTGCCACTGCACGCTGAAACCTCCGCAGTTTAACTCATTATCTGTGAACTGCTTTGGGCGTTGGGGAAACTTTCTCCAGGCAGAATTCCTGCTAGGCGGATCTTCCATATAGCCGTGCCCAAAAACCGTCGCGATCACGTTAGCAACTACCAAAAGTCGGATGATATCTCTTGATCCCATTTTCTCTCTTTCGGCGTGCCAAATGAGACCCTAATGTGAGGTACTTCAGGTGAGATTTAGAGCTACTCCAAGTGTATTTCTCCAAAGTGCCGTAACCACTTAAAAGCTTTGATATTGTGTGAATAGCTGTGTTATTTCATGAGAAAGCTATCGGAACTGTTAACTTTGTTGCAGTGTGCGAGATTTGAAAGAATATTAAAGGTGAATAAACATACAGTTTTTGAAACTACGGTTCAAAACGGCGAAGGTTCGATAAAGACGAAAAGTAGAACGATATCTTTGACTTTTTTGTCTCTTTTGGCTGATTAAGAATGCTTCGGGGGAAAGTTCGGATTTAGCTTAGTCCGTAATTGTGTTATTTCAGAGTTGATGCACTTACTTGAAAGGTCTATGATACCATATATGAATAGCTGTACTGTTTGAGTGACATTTTCGTGGAATTGAGCCTCGCTAAAAATGTGCGAGGCTCAAGGTGGGCTTTAAGTGAACAAATAAACCCTTTGAAAGGTTTATGCAGCAAGGGTGTATCGTAAATAGGGCATGGTTTGTTGGCGCAGAGGGTTCTTTCAGTTGTCAAAATTGCTTATTCAGCTCAGAGCGTTTCAAGTTCCCAAACTAGAACCAATCCTATTTTTGTTGCCTAGGGTTAGCGTGACGGACAAATATTTGGAATTATTATAGGGAGTACCTTAAAATTTTTATTATCAGCTCACGGAGACTTAAATTTGGGAACTGTCCTCAGTTACAAGGTAAACCATACTGCAGTTGGTTTGTTTGAGTAAAGAATGACGAAAAGAAATCTCCAGGACCAGGATTGCATTTTCTGTAAAGTCTTTTTCTTTGCTTGTGTTCTAGTCAAATCTCCATTACTGATATTTATTCGATGAAAAACTATTGATACAAATTTGCCTCAAATTAATGATAAGCCCTTGTCATTTCGAAACGCAAATTGCCATCTTATAAACTCCCTCCCAACCCCGCACCCCGACAAAAAGGGGTTTTGTGAAATACAAGCTCCGGGGCTTACTTTTAGAATTTGAGAGGCTATTCGAGCAACTCGCTCGCTAAGCTAGAAGGTACCGAGACAGATGTCAAATTAACTTTCAAAATACTTAACAACAAATTTTACGGAACCTATTTTTTTTTTCTTTTGCCTTTGGTTTTATTTTTATTTCACGAAGGCCGGGCTGTTTTCTAATCACAATAACATGTTAGGAATGCGTAAATGCCCTATTGCTTACTTTTCGTTAACGTCCCGGGTGGGATGTAAGACCCTCTATGTTAGCGTTGAGGTCAGTTTGAGCGCTAATGATCTTCCAATTGCTTCTCCTTGAATACTGTATCGTCACTCTCAAACTGTACGATGGGTTGATCGATCGTTTTTTTGTGATTCTGATTAGCCTTTCTGCAGCTCTCCTTTTCCCTTTCCTATGCAAGCCTTCTTAAAGCCGGTTTTTTAAACGTCTTTATTTTCAAACTCGCCCTTACAGTAACTAGTAAAAACACCAGGCAGTACCAAAGAAAACTGTTTTTATTCTAGTACTTGATGGTTGTAACGGTTGTCGGCCCTCTAGTTGCTCAGCTAATAGGACTTTTTCTGTTCTCTAATGGAAGACCATAACGAAAATGAATCATACATTTGATGTTTCTCTCCATTTTTAACTTGGTTTATTTTTTTCTCTAGACTTCTTCAATTACATTGCAAGGCTTTCTTAATGCGCTCTCCTGGACGGTGGACAAACAGTTTGAAGATCGAGAAAATCTCAAGAACGATGACTAAATCACAGTCGCTAAGCGATGCCATGCAAGTACTTGATAAAACTATGTTTACACAGCAGAGCTCAACAGCAGAACTAACTCTTAAACTGGATGCCCTATAATTTTCAATCGGGCTAATTTCATCAGTCTTAGAGAGACAGTCAGCTCCCGTTATTGCAGACGCCCTTTGAACCACGAGTTAAAAAAGAGTTCTACTGTCGTGTAGTTTTGACGTGCGTACGCACGTAAATGAAATAGAGGCAATGTATGGAAGGTCGCGTATGTGTAAAAGTTGAACCTCGCTCAACTTTCACTTTTACGTGCGGCCTTTCGTACATTGCCTCTATTTTATTTACGCCCGTAAAAATTACGTGACAGTAGAAATCCACCCTTAGTGTCCGTCATCGCTATAGTCCGTAATAATGGGGTGCGGCGGACACGAAAATTGCTTTATACGGACAGCATTATGTCTTTACATTTAGATTGACTGAGAAAAAACTTCAATGCAGTCAACTTTTAGGCAGATTCGACGAAATCTTTTATGGTAGCGACATTGTTAAAAGTTGATACGCGAAAGAGTTTGGCTGCTGTCCGTAATACCGTAGCGAGGTGTCTGCAATACTGAGGCGAAGTGTCATCAAGGCGAGAATTGACTCTACCTATACATGGCTCGCTGATCCAATTAAAGCGATACTTGTTTGCTTGTACCAGCACAAAGTAAATTTTGGCATGATATTAGCTTGATATCGAAACCTCTGAAAGGATCTCTATCACGGTAGTGGTATCTTGGTCATCAGTTTGCCACGTACAAAATCTCTTGAAATTAATCTAAGAAAGCTCAAAGGAGCTGTCACGAGGATATTGTTGTTTTAGGTCAATTCTGTGCTGAGGTCATTACTTTAATAGTGCCTTTACTCATACACAAAATGTTCCTGTAGAGATATGAAGAAGATATCAAACAAATTTCGTTAAGGAGCGCTAACCATAATACTTTTTTTTGGCGATTTTTCGAGGCATAAAAATAAAACTTGAAAAAGTTGGCAAGTTTCAATCCATGTCTATCGTTTCCATCCGTTGCAACAGACGACAGGAAACAGTTTCAATACCTAAATATAGTCTTAAATAACAAAACTGGATATTATTTTTGGAATTCAACTGATGCCAAAAAAGTTCTAACTGTTAAAACGGTGAGCAACATTTTGGTTTGATCAATTGCGTTTATAAAGTAGATTAGCCACCGTATAGGGTGATTGAGAGGCTGATGTTTCGAGCAAAATTCGCTCTTCCAGTCTATGATCTAATCGTTACGGTCGATGGAAGCCCGATCGTGCGACTCTGTCTATTAGGACTACTACTGATACACACGTCGCGACACAGTGGTTGTACTCTGAAGGAGTAGTTCCTGCAAAAAGACCTCTCTTTGTTTGTGTACTTACCCGAATGACAGTGACCAGTTGCTAGTAATCTGCAATTTATAGTTCCCTGGCACATGGAGCGCACTGTCGTATTTCCTAATTTCAACTGTCGGAAAGAGAAACGCCGTAAGCTGAAAACGCGTGGTCAAAATCCTAGCATGCGAGCGCCGACGTATTTCCGACAGTACGGCGTATCACTCCGCCGAGAGAGGAACGCAGGACAGTCGAAAATGCAATGGCAGTTTTTCAGAAACCAGATTCAGATTGCGCCTGCAGACGTCAATAGCACAGCTTGTATTAAAGAATTGGCTTCTGTCTGTAATAGGCCGACAAATTGGAATTTTGGCCTGTTCAACTTAGATTTGAAATTACCGATAAAAGCTTTCTCCCTTGATTACAGCTTCTACTTGTTAAGGTTTTTGTCATGTCGTATCTTTGCCACTTAGTGGCCCTTGTCCTTAACATGTTGAAATCTCCATTTTAAAAAGAAGATTGAAATGTCCTTGGGTCTAAAACTTTCCTTGTTAATGCAGCAAAATTTTTCTCGATTTTAATATTGACACACGAGATGAAAACGCTCCAAGCCTGTCTTCTGTGCTTGGCAAGAATATTTTGATTACATAGTACTTCCGTTTGGAGTACAAAATTTGATGTGGCAGGTGTCGAAATCAAAGCTTGACAATGACAATGGTCTCAGCTTGCAACTGCGCAACTATCTGCATATCCTATAACTCTGAATCATGCCTAACCTTAACCGCTATGAAGACATGTTTGGATTAACGATTTTGTTTTATAATTTAACAGTTGCTTCGTTAGCGCAATAGAAGTGTTAATGTTTGTTATGGGCAGCGAATGGCCGCGTTGAGAAATGGCTGCAGCCCTTTTTTACCTTTACTATTTTATTTCTGTTTCCAATGTCTATGGATCAATGTTGCTAAGATCCATGAACGCTGCGTGCTAATCAGAATGGCCAGGTAAAAATTTTCTGAACTTTGTCGAAGACCAAATGCCACTGTTTAGCGGAAAGATTACATAGGTTTATCTTCTCACTAATTTTCCTATGTTACAAGTGACAAATGCTAAAATATGTTGATCATTACTTTTAGGGTGTGTAATAAGTCATCAAGTCAAATGAAGCGAGGCAAGGGTAAATGGCTCATCATTCCTAGTTCATTTACCAAGATTTTATTTCGCTGAGTGTTTTGCTGATCATCCCGCTGAATTTTGATACTGAAACGTCATTTGTATTCTTCGTTTTGTTTTCCAGTTTTCATCAAGATTTTTTAAAATTTCGAATTTTTGCGATTTTCTCACTTAGTGTTGTCTTTGTTGTTTTCTCGAGAGCCTTCCTCAAACCTAAAGAACAGATGCCCGAAGGAGGCGAAGATAACCGTCTATGTGTTCTTGAAGCACAACAACCATTTTCGCGTATCTTCGAATTTCCGCACGGCCTGGAAAATGTATATTTTGTAATTTCCGAAGAGAGATTGACTTGGCCGAGGGAGATTCACCTTGATTACAGCCCACGCAAATGCTGCCTTGTTTATGCCGACTTTAGTCACTTATACATAGTATTTGCACACGTCTCATAAGGCATAATTAAGATCACGTCATTAACCTTGGTTGCTGGCCTTGCCAAACAGTTTATTTTCTTACGTTATCGACTCTCGAAAACCAGCACTTCGCTACTGCCTACAAAAGTTAAAGAGTGCACTTTTCAGATGTCTGTCGCTGGATCAACTTGTTCACAGATAATCTGATTCATTTTTCACTCCGTTTTGTTAATTTTTAGGCACTCTTGCTAGGGGTTTAAACAGTCTGCTGTCACTATTGAATGTGACGTAGACAAGCCAATGAATTGTTTTCTTTTTTAAGAAAACATATGTTTATTTCATTGGAATGCTTATAAAAATGTTGTTACTCATCACATGTATGTGATGAGTACAGTGTTTTAGAACTAAAAAAAAAAGAAAGAAGCTAAGTCTGTGAGTATTAAGAACGACACTTTATACAAGACAGTGCGTGATATTTAAAAAAAAAACGTGTTTTAGCCGGAGCTGTATTTAAAATATTGGTTTGTATATGAAAACAGAATAACTCATTTTGCGTCAGATCTACTCAAAATAAACCACAGGTTGCCTTGTTTATCGCCGGGAGGTCTCAATCAGCATCAAGATTTCTTTAGTGAATTGAGGCAATATCCCTGTCAAATCTGAATCATTTACGATTTGTAATTAATCATCGCCGAGACAAGAACAATATATTAACTATACTGCCATACAGAGATTAGTGGTCAACAATAAAGTTCACACACCTCTTTTTTACGAGTTTTTAGACATATGAAATTCTACAAATTGCGTTTTGTGAAGGCTTTCTTGATCTTCTTTGTCATCTCAGATTAAAGGAGTAAACTTTTCAAAAATTGTATCCCAGCTTGGTATTTAAAAATAATTCAGCTAAACAATTGCTTTTATAATTTGCCGTCCACTAGAAAACACAGATTGGACGTTTTTGGATAATTAGGTCTCTTGCAATTACGAAATGGGCCATGAAGCGCCCTTACTTCAAGCTTTTGCTTTGAACTTTATTGATTTCTAATTCGCCTTTCATATTGAAATTTCTCCTAAGCAATATTTGTCTAAGCAAACAAATTACAATTGAGCGCAATTAATTTTCAGCCGTTCCCTTTTAAAGCTCGTGAATTAATTACAGCTTTGATGTTTGCGTTTCCTTGTAGCGCTTGTCACACGAACGAAAAATTTTCGGACATGAAAACGATATTTGACAGTTGACAGTTGTTAGTCAAGAGCGGCCCTTTTGCGTTACAAGTTTCTAGAAAACTACAGAATCATCGCACACTCGAAAATATTTAAAGGGAAAACATCCGGTTTTCCTTTATTTCTTTTCTTGTCGAGAGTACTTAGTTTAGCTTCTTCGCGAATGTGGCGTTTTCTCCTTGAACGTGCGGTTTTCGCCTGCCTCGTCTTCAGTTTAATACGTTTGTGAAAGACAGTATACTTTGCCATCGCAAGAAAATCAAGTTGTGCACCTTGCATGAAGCTACAAATCAATGCCATCTAATGTTATCATTTTCTACAGTGTGACAATGGACTTAAATTTCCTGTGCACACAGCGAAGTGTATGGAAATAAGTCGCCATTCAAGAAAACCCGTGTGGAAAAATTCCAAATATCGCATATAACTTCTTAAATCGTTGGTTTATTCCTTGGGTATGGAATCGTCTTCGGCCGCTGGAACGGGCGGTAACAACGAAGAAGCATTTAAAAGATGCGGCAGAGCAGGACGAAGGGGAGGTTGTATTGATGCCGACATTATGAGCGACAAACTTCAAGAAATTATTCATAAGGTGGAGAACGTTTCGTTGGAAGAAGGGGAAAGCTCGCAATCTAACGTAAGCCAAAAGGGGACATAGCTCAAATCAAAGACGTAACAAGATATGTTTTAAAATAACCTTGGTTACTGTCAAGCAAGCTCATCGTAATTTTAATTTCACTGGATCATAACGGCAGACTTTTAATCCCTCGTCAGCTGTGTTAGTCGATGTTAACATTGGTTGTTTGAATGATAGCAGTTTTTAAATTGCTCAGTGTTATGCAATAACCATATTTGACTGGTTATTATAATATTTTGTATTTGCTATGATTTACATGAAGAGAAAAACTTGATACCTATTCAAAGAATTTCAAAGGTCTGGTTTGACTTAAAACGTGAGCTTAAAAATAACATGAACTACACAAAACCCGATGGAAGTTAACTGCAACG